CAAAGGCCCAAGGAAAAATATCCAAATCCAAGTGACTGTAGGGAGAAAACATGCACTAAGACATCTTCCAACTCATTCTGTCCATTGACAGCCTGATGGTGACCAAATTATGTCTTATCCTATAGATAATTAAAAATTAAATTAAAATTAAAAATGTATAGCCAATATTTTCAAAATTAGGGATTTCTGGGTGCCCAACTTGAAACTCTCTTAAGAGGCCTGATTTTTTTCAGAAATTACTGAGCATCCTTCATTTGAAAAGGAGGTCCCTTCAAGGCATCGCCACGTGTGCACTGAAAAGTAGTGATGCTCACAATTACTAGTCAATCCTGAAAAATCTAGGCCGAATTTGTATAAATAAACAACATCCAAATGCTGCTGACTGGAGGAGCACTCTCCCATTCTGCAAGGTACCCTGATACTACTGTGATGGACATTGTATGAAAACCTTTAACCCTTTAACACGGCCGGCTCCAGGTTTTCTGCCACCCCAAGCAGCCATAAATAAATAAATAAATAAATAAATGAAAAAGCCGATCGGTGGCATTTCAGTGGCAGCTCAATCGCGCTGCTCCATTCTTCGGCGGCGGGTCCTTCACTCCCTCTCTTCCTCTTCGGCGGCAGCTCAAAGAGGAAGAGAGGGACTGAGGGACCAGCCGCTGAATTCCCGCCGAAGACCCTGACATGCCGCCCCAAGGGCGGACGGAGTGCCGCCCCTTTGTATTGGCCGCCCCAAGCACCTGCTTCCTTAGCTGGTGCCTGGAGCCGGCCCTGCCCTTTAGCCCATATGGGAGTTGCCAATGCATACACAGAATATAGACTCTTGTTAGTCTGTGTGGCCTTTTACATAAAGGGGACCTTTCAGTGAATTTCTCTAACCACACCATCAAAAAATGCATTGATGTACAATACCTGTATTTTGAATGTAAAGGTGGGTAAATTGCACACACAAATTAGCATTAGAAGCTTTTGTCAGCATGGTATACCTTTATTTCAGTGTTTTGTGTGGCACAGCCGTACTCATGTTATGCATGGTGTGTACCATTGGCGGGGCACCAGCTGGAGGATAGGAGTGCCAGTTGGGAGGCAGGGCCATGGGGTAGGGGGAGGGACAGTTTGCCCCAGGCCCTCATTTGGAGAGGGCTCCCAAACTGAGTGGCATTATGACTTGGTGTGTGGGGATTGCTGCACCACTCTGGTTTGGCCCAGTGGTCTCTCCATGAAGGGGTTGCTCGGCCAAACCTGATTGGTGCTGTGATCCAGCTTGCTGGGTCACAATGCCATTCACTGAAATTTGGCCCAGCCACCCCTCCATCATGCTGGAGGGGCGGCTGGGCCAAACCTGAGTGACACTGTGACCCCATGTGTCAGGTTGCAGTGTCTGGAGCAAGGAACCTGTCCCTGCCTCTTGGGACGAGCTGAGCCATCCCTGCATGGTGAGTGCAGTTCAGTTGTCCATATCGTGTGCAAAATTTCTTGGAGCCCCTAGTGAGTGCAATACCAATGCTAAACCAACTGTTTTATTTGTACTATGTGTAATTACTAGAGCTGGTTGGAAAATTTCAATGAAACATTGTTCTGTCTGAAAATGCTAAGTTGTTGAAATCGAAACATTATGTGGGAATGTCTATTTTGATGAAAATCTGACAGAAACCAGGCAGGTATTGGCTTCCAGGCTCCTTGGTAGCTTGGTCTGACTCCTTGGTAGTTTGCTGGGCCCTGGGCAGCTCGGGGCCTCTTGGAAATGTTCTCAAAAGGTTGCAAAAAATTTTGGAATTCCCATTCTGCTGAAAATTCCAAATTTTCAGTTTTTGTTACATTTCACAATGACTTTGATTTTCTTAAATGTTGGAACTTAGCATGAAACAGGAAATTCCAGTTTTCAGCCAGATCTAGCAATTCCCTGTTTTGTGTATGGTGTGCATGGAATGGGCTTGCAGGGCTTGAAGTGAAAATAAGGAGGCCTGTTGAAAACTTAGGCCAAGTATATGGTAATGGAGGTTACCATGGTAAAGTCATTCATAGCGAAGCCATAGATGACCAATTTTTAATGGCTACTACTTTGTGATAAATTAGTCTCTTTGGATATATTTGACATCGGGTTTAATTCTGCGCTGACCGTAATCTCTAGGAAAACACCCATTGACTTCAATGGAAGCAGGAGTAGGCTCATGTTCTAAGAGAAAGTTTAAATAGAATGAAAGCTGGCCAGTTCCATGCTGGTTTAAATATCAGTGTAATGCATCCTATGCACCATCTAACAAACCGAGAACAATGCTATTATGTTATGGGCTCAAGGATATTAAAGCTGCTGACCCTGAAGTATAGCGATTTCCCTCAGTAGTTGAAATCAGTTTGGCACTGCACCAGTTCCTAGGGAAACTGTACAAGTGTCTAAACTGGCTCCGTGGCTCAAAACAGGTCATCATTCATCTAAGATCTGGATGAGAAGCCAGTTCAGGAAGCCTGAAAAATGGAGAGAAGCCACCCCTACTCTCCTTGCTGAAAAACATCTCTTCTGAAAGCCCATCACACACAACAGTGTCTGACTGTATTTCAAAAGCAGGAAAAGAAAAACCAAAATAAGATTTTGTCAACATAATCATACGAGGCAGAATGAAGTCACAGAAATAGGCGACTCAAGGACCAAAAACTTAATAATTCACATAAATAAGAATATGTATTTATTTAATTTATATATAAAATAAATACAGGAAATGGAATTATTTATGTAACTATAGTAACATGACTTTGGATGCAGACGGCCAGAAATCAGCCCTAAAATAAGTCTGTGCAGCACCATGGAATGTTATACCTAACAATGACACAACACTTTATGTTTTCAAAGCTGTCTGCTAGCATTAATTCATAAGGTTCAAATCCTGCATATGGACACATCACTGCACCTTCAAACACTTAAATCCACCTACTGCTTACCTGAATCTTAACTACCACCCTTTCAGGAGCCATAGTCGAATGTGGTCCCAGGTACATAGATAGGAAAACTGAGTTGGAAAAGGTCGAGTTGCTCAAGGCCACAGAGGGGAACCAGTATCAGGGTTAGGATTGGAATTTGGGAGTTCTTCATTCCCAGGCCTGTGCCTAAATCACTGGAATAAATCTCCATTGATTGAACATCTGTGGAATTGCACTCACTCACCCAACAGCTGGATTTGGCCCTGATGATTGATAAAATAATGTCACATTTTTACTCTGGAGAGTGACTTTATACGTGTGGAATGATAGTGGGGCCCTGTTTAATGTACCACATTGATTCTGTGTCAAATCTGTTCAATTGACAAGTTAGACTGTTTTTACCAGAGAATTTGTAACTTATTCCAGACAGAAAAAAGATTTTATAACTGTTCCCCCAGTGCTGTTAAACTGTAACGTTTGTCATGTTCAGATAACAGCTGATCAATGCTCTTGCTACCCAAGGTGAACAGGTGGTGATAATGGTAATAGTGGGAAAATTGAGGCACAAAAGGTAACATTTTTAACAGTGCTGAAGTGACTTAGGATCTTGTCTCACTGAAAATCAGTGGGCCTTAGGCTCTTAAGAGCCTAAGTCATATTTGAAAATGAGTCTTAGGCTACTACGTCACTTAGGGATAGATTTTCAAAGGTAGTTAGGCACCAAAAGATGTACCTAACTCTGATTGATTTCGATGGGTGTTAGACACCTATCTGCATCTCCAGGTGCCTAAATACCTTTAAAAATTTGGCCCTTAGGCACTTCTGAACATTTTAGCCAGAGAGATTAAGGGCCCAAGAAAAAAGAGTTTCCCTATTCACTTCAGCAGGATTTGGATCTGTCCCCAGGTGACTTGCCAGTGGTTCAAATGGGAGGTCAGTATCAGATGTGGCAAAAGAGCCCAGGAGTTCCTGTGGCTAGGGTACAAGACTACACCTCTGTCTGTTAGCTTCTGTTATACCTTCTACTCTGCATTATCTTCCAGAGTGGAAAGCTATGATGGCTAGAATCCCTGAAAATTGTTGTTTTTTAAATGTGATTTTTAAAATTAAGGTGCCATATAAACTCAAGGACTAAAATACATCTGACTGAGTGCTTTGGGCCATTACACGAATGTTGGTGAGCAGGCTTGCACAGATGCACATCCTGACTGTAGGTGGGTGAGGTGTAGTGTCTTTTATTGGACCAACTTCTGTTGGTGAGAGACAAGCTTCAGGTCTGAGGAAGAGCTCTGTGTAGTTTGAAAGCTTGTCTCTCACCAACAGAAGTTGGTCCAGTAAAAGAGATTACCTCACCCAAGTGTTGTCTTTCTAATATCCTGGGACTGACACAGCTACAATAACACTGCATACATCTTGACCCTGACTAACTGACCCACACACCAGACTGGTCTTATTGACTCACTAGAGCTGTATTTGTATACATTGTGGTTTAAAATTTGCTGCATATACAGAAGCTGAGATCAGAGTTTCAAGTACCAAAATTTCCTTTGAAATCCCTGCAAGAAGGGATATATGAAATCATAGACAAGAACAATCAAGCTGAGTTAGATCACAAACCTATGAAGTATCTCTGAATTACCTTTGTTTTATTCAGCTCCCCCAGGTGCCGTAACCAAAGCTTTTTAAAATATCAGACATTTCTTTAAGTTGGCTGATTTCCCCCCCACCCCCAAAGACAAAGGTATCTTTGAAAAGCAGAATTTCTAAGATTTGTGAGATGCTCCTTTTTGTTTTCTAAATAACTATGGGCAGTCGGGCCATCTATGAATTTCCCCATATGATCCAAGCCAAGACACTCTATATGGACCCAAAAAGTACACTCCAGCCATTTTTATAGGAAGAGGGAAAAGCCACATTAAAAATGTGTTTATAAGTTTAAATGGTTAAGTTCCAGAAGCCACAACCTGGGTTAACCTCCCTCCACATTTACAAACTCAGGGAGGGAACTTGTGGTGTATTTGAAAACTGTTGGAATTGTAGGCTATCACTTTAATTTATATGGGGTTTCTTTGTTCTTCTTGCAGTCAGGGGCTCTGTAAGAAATCCTGCAATAAGAGGAGTCAGTCTGCAGCCAGCCAGCCTAACGTAAGGTGGCTTGAACTGTGCCTCTCTGCTTTTTAAGGAGCAGCCTGTTTTGTGTCTCTCTGTTTTTTGGTTCTTATGTGTTATCATTCTGAATTCTAAGAAATAAAGTAGTGTTATGCTACAACCTTACTGCAACCGTGTCTTTTTTAATCTAACTTCTCTGTGTGCCATAAACATAACACTCAATTAATGTCTGAAAGAAAAGCTAGTTCAAAAACATATTGCTTTCTTCTCCCCTCTAAATTATCAAGCAAAAAAAAAAATCCTTCTACCATATCTGGGCCCACTCTGGCAGTCTTCATGCCTGTGATTTTTTTCCCCCCCACTGAAGTCGATGGGACTACTGCTATGGGAAGTGTTGCAGTACCAGCCCATTAATTCTTCTGTTTGTTGAAATAATTTTTCTCCTGTGTTTTGTAATGAAGCAGAAGTGAATGTAGCAGCTTCATGTTTATTTATCTGTGTATCATTTAATGATGCCAGCTGGGAAATACACACAGCTCTGGGAATATGGGTTGGACTAGAAGAGGCTTTGAGCATTGCCTTCAATGGAACCAGGACTGGGCCTTTTATTTAAGTGGGTCCTTCCAAAATAGTGATTACATGTTTTTCTTTACTATCCTGGGTCCCAATTCAGCAATTTTAATGTTAAACTTGTGTGTAAATGCTTTGCTGAATTGGAGGCTCTATCCTGTAGCGGAGACGTCTTAAACACCTGGAATCTGGACAGCATTTTCCATTAGATCATAAATTTAAATTCAGGATCTCTTATTCACGTGAGGTCTATTCCAAAGCCCATTGAAGACAATGGAAAGATTCCCTTGATTTTATTTTTTTTATGGGGTCTTGATCAAGCCTTTCGAGTAGCTTTTTGATAAAACCATCGCACATCATTGTGGCTGCAGACAATAGGGTCTAACTTCAGTGGCGTTCCTCCTGGTTCACACTGATGTACAGGAAAGCCAGACCTAAGAACTTGGTTTGAATAATTATTTTGGTGAATCTGGAAACATTTAAATTCTCATTCGTTTTTATAGCACTGTAAACGAACGAATCCTAAACTAAACCCCCATAATATTGTTTCTTCTGTTATGTCGTATTATGCTGTCACTGCCCCATAAACATCCATCCTCTCACTTGTGCAGCAATCACGTGGTATTCATTACCATCTGAGATATATGAACCTTAGACGCAAGACTGGGGACCATATGGCTGCAAAGAAATTGCATCCAAATGAAGGAGTTTGAATCTGTCCGGAGAAGAACCTCAGATGTGTGAGTAATTATCAGGGTTGGTCCATTTTTAGCTAGCCGCAGTCTGTATTGTTTGGCTCAATTCTGGGTTGCTGTTGAAATATGTGGGCAGTTAGATAAACTGATATTGTTCACAGAGATAACTGCTGTCTAGTGGAAAAAGGCCAGGGGATATAAGTCAGGGAACTTAATTTCTTGTCTTGCCTCCATCACTACTTGGCGTTGTGACCTTTGTCAAGTCACTTCACCTCTGTGCTTCAGTTTACTCATATTTAAAATGGAAGAGCACATCATTGTTGTCCCTACCTTTGCATGTAGTGCTTTGGGATCAATGGATGGAAAACATTACATGATCTGTAGCCTAATCTTGGGAACACTTTTTATATTTATGTGACTTAAATCCCTAGAAGGCTAATGTATTACTGAAGCGCTGGTGGATCAAAGGCATTGCTCGGGGACAGCTGGAATAAAAGTTTGAGGATCTCTGTGACTTGACAGCCACTGGATGAGAGGAATAAGAGTGGAAGAGGAACAGTTGGGTGATAAGTTGTGAACCTGTGGAAAATTATGGACAACATAGTATTAGATATAATTTTTTTTCAGTGTTATGGGGAACAAAGGCCTGGTCTACACTATGAGTTTAATTTGAATTTAGCAGCGTTAAATCGAATTAACCTGCACCCGTCCACACAACGAAGCCATTTATTTCGAAATAATGGGCTCTTAAAATCGATTTCTGTACTCCACCCCGACGAGCGGAGTAGTGCTGAAATCTATATTGTCATTTCGAATTAGGGCTAGTGTGGCTGCAATTCGATTGTATTGACCTCCGGGAGCTATCCCACAGTGCACCATTGTGACCTCTCTGGACAGCAATCTGAACTTGGATGCACTGGCCAGGTAGACAGGAAAAGCCCCGTGAACATTTGAATTTTATTTCCTGTTTGCCCGGCACAGGAGAGCACAGGTGACCACAGAGAGCTCATCAGCACAGGTAATCATGCAGGCCGATAATTGAAAAAGAGCACTAGCATGGACCGTACGGGAGGTACTGGATCTGATTGCTATATGGGGAGAGGATTCAGTGCTAGCAGAACTTCGTTTGAAAAGACGAAATGCCAAAACTTTTGAAAAAATCTCCAAGGGCATGATGGAGAGAGGCCACAATAGGGACTCAGAGCAGTGCCGCATGAAAGTCAAGGAGCTTAGACAAGCCTATCAGAAAACAAAGGAGGCAAACGGTCCCTCTGGGTCAGAGCCGCAGACATGCTGCTTCTACGCTGAGCTGCATGTGATTCTGGGGGGGGCCGCCACCACTACCCCACCTCTGACCGTGGATTCCAAGGCGGGAGTAATCTCATCAGCCACACCTGAGGATTCTGCAGACGGGGAAGAGGAGGAGGACGAGCTTGCGGAGAGCACACAGCACTCCGTTCTCCCCAACAGCCAGGATCTTTTTCTCAGCCTGACTGAAGTACCCTCCCAAGCCAGTACCCAAGACCAAAACCCCATGGAAGGGACCTCAGGTGAGTTTACCTTTTAAAATATAAAACATGGTTTAAAAGCAAGCGTTTTTTAATGATTAATTTGCCCTGAGGACTTGGGATGCATTCGTGGGCAGTACAGTTACTGGAAAAGTCTGTTAACGTGTCTTGGGATGGAGCGGAAATCCTCCAGGGACATCTCCATGAAGCTCTCCTGGAGGTACTCCAAAAGCCTTTGCAGAAGGTTTCTGGGCAGTGCAGCCTTATTCCATCCTCCATGGTAGGACACTTGACCATGCCATGCTAATAGCAAGTAATCTGGTATCATTGCATGACAAAGCCTGGCAGCGTATGGTCCCGGTGTTTGCTGGCATTCAAGCAACATCCGTTCTTTATCTTGCTGTGTAATCCTCAGGAGAGTGATATCGCTCATGGTAACCTGGTTGAAATGCGGGAATTGAATTAAGGGGACAGAGGTGGCCATTCCTACTGGGCTGTTTGCCTGTGGCTGAAAAGAAATCCTTCCCTGCAGTTAGCCAAGCGCGGGGGGGGTCGGGAATTGGCGCTGAGCTTTTCGCGTTTGGCTAGCAGGGATCTTCCCTGATACCAGCCACGTGGTGGCGGGAGGGATAAAGCGATCATCCCAGAGAATTGGATGGGGGGGGGGTTAGTTTGTTTTCTGCTGCTGAAGGTTAACAGGAAAACCGCAGCAGTCAACGGGCTTTGCTTGATATGTGGGAAAGGAGGGCGCAGAAGCCGAAAGACAATGGCTTACCATGGCCGCATGCAAGCCGAATTCTGTTGCCCAGACCTGCGTCTGTGATCTCTAACACCAAAGCCACAGGCACTCATTAAGATGCAAAATGCGACCTTGTACTGAAATCACATGTGCTATGTAATGTGAATAGTGTTGTTCACTGTGAAAGAGTATAAGCATAGTTCTGTAAAATGTATCTTTTTAAAAACTTCTCTCCTTTTTTCCATCCCTCCAGCAGCTGCAAATTTTTCAAGCCTCCCTCCTCCGTCCCGAAGGCTATCTCAGATAAGGCGGTGGAGAAAGAGGACACGAGACGAGATGTTCTTGGAAATAATGGAATGCACCCGCAATGAAAGAGCTCATTTGAATGAGTGGAAGGACACGGTATCTAAGTACAGGAAAGATGCCAGTGAACGTGAGGTCATGAGGGATGCTCGAGATGAGAGGTGGCAGGCTGCAACGCTGGGGCTGCTGCATGATCAAACGGACATGCTCCGGCGTCTGGTGGAGCTTCAGGAACGGCAGCAGGATAACAGACTGCCGCTGCAGCCGCTGTATAACCTCCCTCCCCCCTCACCATGTTCCATATCCTCACCCAGACGTGTAAGAATGCGAGGGGGGTGGGTGGGTGGAGGCTCCGTGTGCCCTCCCAGTCCACCCCAGTGGACAGCCCAACCAAAAGGCTGTCATTATATTGAATTTTTTCAGTGGCCTTTTACTTCCCTCCTATCCTCCTCCCAAACCCCACCCAGGCTACCTTGTCGGTTCTCTCCCTATGTGTATAATCAATTAATAAAGAATACATGATTTTTAAACGATAGTGACTTTATTTCCTTTAAAAGCAAGCTGTGATTTAAGGGGGGAGGGTGGTTTGCTTACAGGGAATGAGTCAATCAAGGGGGCGGGTTTTCAACAAACAGAACTTTCACACCGTAGCCTGGCCAGTCATGAAACTGGTTTTCAAAGCTTCTCTGATGCGCAGCGCTTCCTGATGTGATCTTCTAATTGCCCTGGTGTCTGGCTGCGCATAATCAGCAGCCAGGCGATTTGCCTCAGACTCCCACCCCACCATAAGGGTCTCCCCCTTACTCTCACAGAGATTGTGGAGCACACAGCAAGCAACAATAACAATGGGGATATTGGTCTGGCTGAGGTCTGACCGAGTCAGTAACGAGTGCCAGTGACCTTTTAAAGGTCCAAATGCACATTCTACCACCATTCTGCACTTGTTCAGCCTGTAGTTGAACAGCTCCTGACTCCTGTCCAAGCTGCCTGTGTATGGCTTCATGAGCCATGGCATTAAGGGGTAGGGTGGGTCCCCAAGGATAACTATAGGCATTACAACATCCCCAACGGTTATTTTCTGGTCCGAGAAGTAAGTCCCTTGCTGCATCCGTTTAAACAGATTAGTGTTCCTGAAGACGTGAGCGTCATGAACCCTTCCCTGCCAGCCCATGTTGATGTTGGTGAAACGTCTCTTGCAGCACCATTGAAAAGTACCCCTTGCGGTTTATGTATTGGGTACCCTGGTGCTCCGGTGCCAAGATAGGGATATGGGTTCCATCTATCGCCCCA